TCCTCTATGGTGGCATGGGCCGCATTGGCTGCGAGCTCACAGCGAACCTTGGCTTAATCCCTCAACACAGCTCAACACCAACCTCGAACTGAAGTCAAACAAGATGTCGCATCTAACGCAGACCGCTGGCGAATGGGATCTTTTGACCAGATACCACTCGTTCAACATACTCAAGCGAGTAACCGCTTACGTAATCCGCTTCGTAAAAAACTTACGAATTGCCGCCTCTCGCTCTAACGCAGAGAAACGAAGACTGGGTCCGTTAATCTGCGCAGAAATTCAAGAAGCCGAATTAGTTTTGGTAAAGTATGTTCAATCTAACGCCTTCGAGCAAGAAGTTTTTAATTGCAGTTCAAGGAAGCCGGTACCCGTTCGGAGCAGTCTTATACGTTTACAGCCGTTTCTGGACGCTAAGGGCGTCCTACGTGTAGGAGGTCGCATCGAAAATTCTACACTTTCCAACGATGCTAAGCATCCAATAATACTGCCAAAGGGGTCTTCGTTGGCAAAGATAATCGCTGCCGAAGTGCATATCACAACGCTACATGCTGGGCTTCAAATAATGCAGGCTACGCTTCAACGTCGATTCTGGGTCCCCGGTATTCGAAGCCTCGTTCGAGCCATATATCGTAAATGTGCTCGCTGCAAACGTCTCAATCACAAGCCGCTGCAACAGCTCATGTCCCAACTTCCGCTCAGCCGTGTAACTTGTGCACGGAGCTTTCTCCACAGTGCTGTAGATTTTGCTGGGCCTTACGCTTTGAAATTCTCCCACGGAAGAGGTGCTAAGTCAACGAAGGCATACATTTGTTCGTTTATATGTATGAGTACAGGCGCAATGCACCTGGAACTAGCAGGTGACCTTTCTTCAGTTGCGTTTATCGCTGCGTTCAAACGTTTCACCAACCGAAGGGGCTACTGTCAGCATATCTACTCTGACAACGGAACGAATTTCGCTGGCGCTGAAAGGGAGTTACGCATCGCATACGAACGCTGCATCAGCGACGATAAGTTGTCGTCGTACTTCACCGATACGCATACCACTTGGCACTTTAATCCACCCAGCGCCCTTCACATGGGCGGTTATTGGGAAGTGGGCATAAAGCGCGTCAAGTATCACTTAAAGCGTGCGCTGAATTCAACACTCCTGGCGTATGAAGAATTTTCAACCGTGCTAACCGAGGTCGAGGCTTGTGTGAACTCTCGTCCTATCTGCTGGATATCCACAAACATTAACGATTTGGAAGTCTTGACTCCCGGCCATTTTTTAGTTGGCGAACCATTGAAGACGCTCCCCGATCCCGATGTGGAAATGTTCAAGGGTTCTCTTTTCCAACGATGGCAGCTCATCACGTCAATAAGACAACACTTCTGGAAGCGCTGGCGTGACGAGTATCTTGTAAACCTTCAGCAAAGAACAAAATGGTTCCGCTCAACGCCAAATCTGCAGAAGGACGATGTGGTTGTCATACACGATAACAACGCCCCACCTACCAAATGGAAACTTGGACGTGTACTTGATAGCCACCCCGGCACCGACGATCGCGTGCGTGTTGTCAGCTTAAAGACCGCAGAAGGTGAACTCTTGAGACCCATTTCGAAACTAACGACCACTTGACTTTTAACAAGTTTACGACATTTAACTAAAATCATGCTACCAGATCCACTAACAGCAAAATGTTTGTTTCTTGAAAAAGTAAAAAAAAATTTTTAAGTCAGTGAAGTTGGATGAAAGTATTAAAGAAAATTCTAGCGTGTTTCCAAACTGCAAGAAGTCGGTACGCCTGTGCAAACGTTTGAAAATAAAGTTTTTTGCTTTTCCGATGATAGAGTACGTTATACAATCTAATGCACAAATTGCGACGCAAAATATTTTTAAACCTCTAAACGATGTACCGTTATCCATGGAAGAGGGATGAGGTCGAGTTAAAATGATGCCCTGCAACTAGTAACAGTACCAATTTTTGGGTTCCCGGGTACGGTTCGGTTATTTGTACAATGCTTTTGGGTTATCGTGTCCAAACGCGTGACCCGAATCAAATAATTTTCACATATACGTCTAGCCAAAGAATAAAGTTTTAATTTAAAACAAAGATTTTGGTTTGAAATATGCATTTTTTTTTTGTAAATTTGGAGGGGGATTTTGCGCAAAAATACTGTGCATGGTGTAACCGGAGTTGGACTGATGAGGTCATTTTTTCTAGCGCGGCCGAAGACCACCACCGCGGAAAGGAGTTTTGCGCAAAAATACTGCTGATGGCCTAACACGAGTTTAATTTTTCTTTATGAAAATGCTAATTTCACCCCATTTTGAAATGGCCCCCGAGTGCCTGTAGAAGGGGCAGGGAGGAGAAGGATGGCTTTTGTTAAATTTTATACTATACTCTTTTTAATGAGTGTAGTTTTAGGTGACACACCCCTTCTCCCTCCGCTCCCAACCAAAACATCATTGTACAAATAACACAGGTCCACAAAAAAAAAAAAATCGATGAAAGGTTCCTCTGACCAAACCTAGTCTATCATATATTTTTGGGGTCGCTGAACACGAATCTGAAGTCCGTTTTGCTCCATCACGTCTAGATTTTTTCCTAACCTCAAAAAAGACCTCGGATTTTCTCTGTCACGTAAAATCCGAGATTTTGTTTTGAGGTAAGACATGATGGAGCAAAACGGACTTCAGATTCGTGTTCAGCGAACCAAAAAACATGTGATAGACTAGGTTTGGTCAAAGGAATCTTTCATCGATTTTTTTTGTGGACCTGTGTAATCGAACATTTCCCACGCACAACATTAAATCCTCTGATGTATTGTTTAATTGCTGTAAATGTGGCAAGGTAGCTCACAATTTTGTACAATTTATGAAACTTCAAAAACTTATTTTTTGTCAAAAATTTTGAAGTGAAACTGCCTTCTTTTTTTATCTCCTTTTATTAGCTCGGGATGTAACTATGTAATATTGATGCGCCTAAAAGATGCGGCGATTTTTATTCTCAAGTTACATACCTGATGACAGTACGAATGGCAATTATAATAGGGAGGTTTTAGTTTTTTAAACTATAATTTTATTGTATCATGGTAAGGTAGAACCGCTGAGACACTTTTAGCATTTTTGACGTTTGCAAGATATTTAATTTTAAAATTTGAAACTCAATCTCACACACATATCCTCATTTTCAATCCCTTACAACAACAATTTTGAACAATTTCTTCTTTTTATTCTCAATTTTATATTATTTTAAAATGCTGGCAAACTTAAAAAAAAATCATCAAATCATCAAAATCAAGAAAACGGCGTCTGACAGCATTAAATACATTTATTTTTGCTAGTTTTTATACCTACTTAAAGTAAGATTTCCAGGTAAACAAAAAGTTCACGATAATAGCTATTCAAAGAATTCAAATTAACGTGTTTTCAGTCTCATCCCCTCAATCGGTAATACCACGGTCACAGATATCACATATAAAATTTGGTCCCGATTGGAGACTCTTAAGTCGTGTCGCACAGGGGCAAAGTACAGATTCTTCTATAGAGATAAAAAGAAATTTAAATGATTTTTTTTTTCATCTAATACCCAAAATCCATACTACCATAGTCGAAAATATCACATATAAATTTTGGTCCCGATTGGAGTCGGTTAAGGTGTATCGCAAATGGGTCAAAAGCCAGATGCCTATATGAACTCAAAAAATTTAAAATATTTTTTTTTTTATTTAATACCCGAAATCGATACCACTAAAGTCGAGAATATCACATATAAATTTTGGTCCCGATTGGAGTCGGTTAAGACGTCTTCGTAGGGTTATCTTAACTTTGACCCCTGTGCGACACGCCTTAACCGACTTCAATCGGGACCAAAATTTATATCGTCGTTTAAAGTACAATACCGCGTATCGTCATTCTGCAAAACCGCGTAACTGACATTGGCTGCCAAAAATTGGATTTGCTCACACAAGCTCTTGGCTCAATCCTTATCTATTCGTCCTGAAATATACTAGCCAGAAGTGCTGTTGCTTTATAAAAAAGAGAAAAATTTTGAAATATGAGTGTTTTTACTCTCTAGAAAATAATTTATGCAACCTCACATACGCGGTTTTGCATTTTGTTGATACGCGGTTTTGTACTTTAAACGACGATATGTGATATCGTCGACAATGGTACTATCGATTTTGGGTATCAGATGAAAAAATAATAATTTTAATTTTTTGAGGCTCCATAGAAGAATCTGAACTTTGCCCCCTGTGCGGCACGCTTTAACCGCCTCCAATCGGGACCAAAGTTTATATGTGATATCTTCGACTATAGTAGCATCGACGTAGGCGGTGAGGCTTAAGACATCTGATGTAAAAATTTGCTTCCTACATTTAAGGACCTCCCTAATGTGCTTTTTACCTGACCCACCCACCGACATGTATTTCGACACGCTGAATCCGAATCTGAGTCCCGTTTGACTTCAAAATTTCGAGTGAATTCCGAAAAACCGAAAAAATGGCAAAAAAATCGCATACTTAGTAATTTTAATAAAGCCTTCGTAGTAAATGACATGAAAAATCGTAGCAGAAAATAAAATTCCATCGTAGATTTTTTATACATCGCTCATTTGCATACATAAAGCATAGTTCACTCAAAATCGGTACGCATGAAATGGGTTATATCTTTTTCATAGGTTTTCAGAAAATAATATTTAATATGTTAAAATAAAGGGAAAATATTCCGTTATAGATACATGTTAGCGAAAGTTTCATATTTTGCTTGGATAAATAAATAAGATACAATTTCTTTGATAATAATAAAATTTTTCTGAACACCCGTTCTAGACACTTGTGTAGTCAACTTGCTCTACTAAACTATCTTTAGTTTATGTTTTTCCACAGCTCGCATATCTCTACTAATTTTGTTTTAAATAAATACCATGTATTTTTCGATTTGACTTAAATAGATCATATTCGTAAATTGATGACTTCCAGAACTTTATTCACATCATTGGCTTCAAACCGATTTAAAGTTACCTGTGAATAATTAGTTTTCATAAAAACCAACCAACACTTTACAAAAGGTCCAAAGTAAATGACACAATGAAATAACACTTTGTGCAAGCGCTCCTTCCAGCATATTTCTGGGGTCATATGACCCATTGTGGTGTTTGATCGAGTTTTAACGAGACTACCTCGATTCTCTTGTTATTTCATAGCCCTTTGACAACTGTGTCAACTTTTATAGATTTAGTTGTAAGAGGATATCACCCTGTTTCTTTTTAGCTTAAAACTTTTAACGTGGGAGTTGACCGAAGTCCAGTTATAAACATGTTTTATTAGTCACTATTAGAAAATACCACATTTGGTGGGAACATTCGGGGTAAAGTAAACGGGTGCGGTTTTTGTTATAAAATGTATTTAATCTAACAGAATTTTATATATTATAACTCGATAAGGTTTAAGTCTTGCCATAGCTTGCATTCGCTGAACTGTGGATAATTGTTTTCCAATTCTCTCACGCGATCTTCTCCTGATAAGTCGTTTTTTTCGTAATTGAGGTAAAGAGCCTTATCCTTTAGCTGGTGCGAAATGATGTTTTTTAACCAACTTCCAAAAAAGGAGGAGGTTATCAGTTCGTCGGAATATTTTTTTTTTTTTTTTTTTTATGTATGTTACCGCATAACTTTGGACCACGTCAACCGATTTCGATAATTCTTTTTGCAAGGAAGGTAGTGTCTCAGAGGTGGTCCCATACTAATCTGGTTAAGTTCCGATCAGCGGATCATGAGAGATATATATATATATATTTTTTTTTTTATATGAGAGTTGAAGTCGGTTTTTTTTTTTTTAAATTACTAGTTAATGATTCCCTTACCCCGTTAGTTTAAGCAGAAGGAATCTATTCATTGATTTTTGGAGGATAATTATAAGTTTTTGCCATATATCGGATTTTCTACGAATTTGTTCAACATTATTTTTTGAGCATCAACTTCCAACGCGAATAAAACTGTCAAATAAAAAGCCAGTACTATGAAATTTGAACTTCATAATGGTAGATCTTTTGTCTAACGATCTGCATTGCAATTTTTTAATACATTCCAACAATTGCTGTACAGAAATTGCTAGAACGCGTACCGATTTTGAGTGAACGATGCTTTATATTATGAAGTATATATACATATATACATAAGCAAGGTAAAAAGAGACCTCACGATTAAGCTTGCCTTGGGCTTGGGGCAAAAGCTGCGCGCGGCGGGTTTGCCATTGATTTCTTCGAGATGCGGTTAAAAACTTTGAGATTCTCCGATTTACTGGAAATATGACTTTTTAATTTTCGTGTATGATAAAAAATAACATATTCTTTAAACACGTACATTTGTTATGTAGTAGGCATTTGAATCGCTCATCTAATTATAATATTTTAACAACATTGCCATTGTTAAAACTATTATCGATTCGCAACTGAATTTCAAAGAAAAGTTTCTGATTTATAAATCTGCCTTTACATCCATCAATTTAATCACTTGATATACCTTTAGATACGCAGTGGATACAAATTTGTATAGCGTCTACGGAGTTCAGACAATTGCCGAATGTAATTGGTAAAATTCTGCCTATACCAGTAAGCAACCATTTATTTTAAAGGTGTTTGATATAATGGCAAACAGTTGGGCCCATGCAAGAAACAGAATGAGGGTAAAACTGATATTGTCCCAATTTGACAAGCCTACTCACAGCTTACAGTGGTTCGGATCGCAAATCTAGCTGGACGAAACTATTTAAACAAATACTCGTTGATGGATCTTTACACCACTTCTTACCTAGGGGATTTTTGGGTCGCTGATTACGAATCTGAAGTCACTTATCAAAAATTCAAAATGGCGGATCCAATATGGCGGACGAAAATAAAAAAAAATCGGTAGATTTGTATGAAACTGGGTATCTGGGGGGTTTCTGGGTCGCTGATTACATATCTAAAGTCATTTACCAAAAATTCAAAATGGCGGATCCAATATGGCGGACGAAAATTTAAAAAAATCGGTAGATTTCTACGTAACTGGGTATCTGGGGGTTTTCTGGGTTGCTGATTACGAATCTAAAGTCATTTACTTAATTTACTTTATTTACTTCGGAACGAGCATTTTCATCAGATATTTCTTTCAATTTACCAATCACATAATCACGGACACCTTGTTGTCTTTTAGAAGTTTCAGCAATACTTCTCCAAATGTCAAACAACTCACTTCTTAAGATTTTATTTACCATGACTAAAATTTTATTTAAAATTTAAGATCACAGCAAGAAACACAAATAAATTTCAGAAAATATTTTATAACTGCGCTTAAAGATTTGCATGCCTGTTGTATAATTTTTTAATTTCAGAAAGCAGAAAATTCGCGAGTTACTATTTTTTTTTAACTCTTACATAACCAAAGTTTTTATAACTCCAAGTATTTTTCTGTTTTAACACACAACCATTACCCCCCTTTCATTTAAAAAGTGGAGTTGACTTCTATGAGGATTTCACGAGGATAATCCTATAATAACTACCTACAATTTCTAGCATGGTATTGTGATACATACGATATATGTATGTACATATGTATGTACGTATGTAATATAGAAAGGCCCTAACTCATTCTATTTCGAAACTCAGCTCTGTGCAACAGTCGGTAGATTACTCACTAAAGGCTTAATCGAATTTGAAACTGTGTTTATAGAAAACTAGTGTAAGAAAAAAATTCAACCGAAGAACTTTAGTTTATATAAAGTTTTATAACTACGCGGTAAAGAAACAAACATGTTAGATAGGGCCTTTCTATACAGGGCTGCCAACTGTACTTAGCTATGAAGTGCCATATTGAGGATAAAAAAGTGCCAAAATGTGCCAAATAGAAAAATAAAAGTGACAAATAAGGTGCCATTCTTTTTAATGCACCCCATTTAGCATTGAAATTAGAAACACATTCCTAAAACAAAAGACCAATGCCAAAGTAGGATAAAACAGTTTTATATGTATACTATAGAAATTAGAAAATTTTAGTTGAGAAAAAGAAGTACACGCAAAGGACTTCCCAAAAATGTATTGAAATATTACTATTTTTCAAAAGTGCCATTTTGGCACATTATGCCAAATTGAAAAATTAAGTGCCATTTGAAGTAAAATAGGGCCAAAAATGGCACGATTTGAGCCAATTTGGCAGCCCTGTTTCTATATTAAGGCAATGATACGTAAATATGTATGCATGTTTATGCGAACCAGTTAAATTGAAATACATTCTTTTAAATTTATTCTGTACATCAAATGTGCATACATATGTACATACATACATAAATACATTACATATATATGCATATGGATGCGAGTACTACGTACAAATAAGTGAATGCCCTTCTAACTACATATGAATATGTTTCAATTTAGTTTATTTTTTCTCACAACACACATTTTAGGTCTCTTCAATTATTCGCTGACGCACACACACATATGCACATTTCCGTATATAAAAACAAGCTGCCTTATCCATATTTCAACCCATTCATTCATATGTCAATTCAGTTTCTTTACTCTGCCATTGTACCGGCGCATCGCTTATGATGATGATGGAGACAATGATTACGTTGTGGCTGCTATTAACGTTGTTATTAAAGATGGTCGGGTGTTTGCGGTGCCGGCAGTGGGTAGTTGAATTTTTAAATAGGGAACGAAACGAGCACAAATGGAATTTTAAAATTTCTGTATAAATAATTGATATTTTGAAAGCCACCAAAGTAATGAAACCACGAAGAAACGCAAACGTCGATGGAAACGCCAAAGTTGAAGTCGAAATCGCTCAAAGCGGTCGCACCAAGTCGCCGAGTAAACGTACTACATATGTACATACTCATAGAAGAAAACGGAATATGGAATATGGAATAATAGCAACAATGAAATATTGCATTAAACGAGTAAATAGTTATTGTGTGTATCACATAGTTTTATAATTTGTTGGTTGGTTGGGCTTGTGTGACTAGACTTCTCACACTCGTTCATACCTATGAATTAAGTATTTGTACAATTTTCATTGTGCCTCCGCCGCTCCTAGTCTACACTAGGTAGGTTCCAACGAACGCTGCTTAAAATACTTATATTTGTTGTTTACGTCTTGCCGCTCCACTTTACTTACATATGCGCTCTTTCTCTGCACTGCCAGCCGCTCTAGCTAGTTTCTTTGTAATTCTTATTATTATTATGATGATTTTTGTGTTTTTTTCTACGAGTATTACTTCTTGTTCGTATTTTATTTTCTTTCCCCATTTGCCTTTTATTACAGTTTATGTATGTATGTATGTATACATATGTACTTATGTTGTTGTTGTTCAAAGTTTTGTTTGTTGTGCTTGTTTTTGTATATTCACGTATATTTATTAAAAAGTTTTCATGTTCTCTACTTTTCCAGTTTTAGAGTCAGAGTCAGAGTCGGCCGGTACGTTGATTGGTTTGGTTCGTTGCGTTTTCGGATTGCTCTGAATGAATTGGATTGACTTGAATCGAATTGGAAGTTGATCAAAACGGATCAGATCGCCATGGATTACTTAATTATTCATCATACATACTAAGTATGTAAAGTGCGTAAAATATTTTTAGGTGGCAAAGTGTTTGTAATACATATGTATGTACATATAACGTGCTTATGATGTGATATGTACAAATGTACATAAAGTACAACTATAGTATGAAAACGCTTTATAAAAGGAAGTAAATGTGCCATTAAACAATTTCGGTGTAAATCACTTGATGTGTAATTGAACATTTTCGACTGCTTATCAATCGCCCGCAGTAGTGACGTATGTATGTACATCGGACCGCATTCCGCTCACCTTATACCTATACGCATACAAATGAATAGAAACACGCAATATGCACATACATACATTTTGAAGTATAAACACACACGCGCCCATCCACCCACCAGCGCGACCAGTTTGGTAAACGAATATTTGTGACGTCGCAGTTGACTGTCTCGTCGCTGTGACTCGTGAGTGCGAACGCGTCAACCCCATGCAAACGCCCATGCAAAGAACCTACACCTATACAAACGCATCGGTACGCAACCAAGGTACAATTTATTTGGTGATTCTGTGAGAGCACTCGCGTTTTCCGAACTCTCCCAGCATCTTTGAGACGTCGTCGACGCTTACAAATTAGAAGAAGCGGCGGCGGCAAGGCAAGAATACCCGAAGATAGCAGTAAACAGACGCGGCAAGTCGTAATACCTTCATTTAACGTACAAAGTGGGGATATACATAAATACATGTATGCAGTTGCAGTGCAACAGATTCGCGAAGTTGTGTCTTCTAGCAGCTAGCATCATCATTCCCTTTCCTCGTTCTCGTTGACGTTGCGGTTGTTTGTATTGTTTTTGTTGTGGAATCAAGATACCGGAGGGGCGCGACGTTTAAACTGTCGCAAATGCTGCTGTGGTCGTCTCCTGCTGCAAAATGGAAGCAAACAATATGCAACTTTGCCGCATCTGCATCTCAGCGAATGTGGGCTGCACGCAAATGATTTCGATATTTGGCGAAGATTCGCTGTGGCAAAAAATCACTACATTGGCCGATGTTAAGGTATTTAAATGCAGATATTCAAATTCATCACATCTATGTACATACATCCATACATACATATGTGCATTCTTGCACACATATATACATGTGCATGACTACATGCATGGCTGATGCAGTGTGCAGATATAACTAATATGTAGGTACTTACAGTGGTGACCAAAATATATGGAACTACTTAAATACTACATAAATACAGTTTTATTTATAAAAAAACTTGAAAAATGATCGCAAAAATTTATACACACAATGTATACGGTGCACATAGGGACGAATTGACAATATGTACATATTTGATAGATTTCAATGAAATTTGGTATTTAGGGATTTTCATCATCACTGATCTCGAATATTAAATTAAATTTCCAAAATTCGCAATGGCGGATGCAATATGGCGGACGATTTCTTAAAAAATGTCTATGTTTTTATGAAGCGTGGTGTCCAGAGATTTTCGTCGTCACTGATTTCGAAATTGATATTAAATTTTCAAAAATCAAAATGGCGGATCCAATATGGCGGACGGTTTCTTCAAAAATGTATACATTTTTATGAATGGTATTTACTCCATATGTATTTGACAGATTTCAATGAAATTTGGTAATTAGGGATTTTCGTCGTCACTGAATTCGAATATTAAATTAAATTTCCAAAATTCAAAATGGCGGATCCAATATGGCGGACGATTCATTAAAAAATTTATAGCTTGTTATGAAGCTTAGTATCCAGAGCTTTTCGTCATCACTGATTTCGAAATTGATATTTAATTAAAAAAAATCAAAATGGCGGATCCAATATGGCGGACGATTTCCTCACAAATGTATAGATTGTTATGAAGCTTGGTATCCAGAGATCTTGGTCGTCACTGATTTCGAAGTTGATATTATGTCTTCAAAAATTCCAAATGGCGGATCAAATATGGCGTCCCGAACAATAAGCGTTTTACTTTTAATGCAAGGCATTACCTTTAGCACAATTTGAACCCATTTTGAATTTTGAAAATTTAATTTCAATTTCGTAATCAAAGATAACGAGGATCTCTGAATACCAAGTTTCAAAACAAACTATGATTTAAAAAAAGTGGTGCGCTAAATTGGATCCGCCATTTTGATTTTTGAAAATTTAATATCAATTTCGAAACCAGTGACGACGAAAATCTCTGGATACCAAGCTTCATAACAATCTATGCATTTTTTAAGATATCTTCCGCCATATTGTATCCGCCATTTTGAATTTTGAAAATTTGATATCAATTTCGAAATCATTGACAACGAAAACCCCTGGATACCAAACTTCATTGAAATCTGTCAAATACATATGGAGTAAACATTTTTGTCCTCCTATATTCTTGAAAAAAAAGGCAATTTATAAAATAGGTATTATACCCATTTTACAAACAACTATATTATTAACAAAAATCGCAAAATAAAGTACATACCTCACGCCCCACTTTCCATGTTGACAAAACTATTAGTTGTTAGTAAGAATAAAATGACAAGCGAAACTATTTTATCATCGCTTCAAACAAAAAATTATTTAATTCGACGCACGATAGAAAACCCAACTTTACGTTTCTGCTAAAGCTGCTGCGTTGCGTTAAAAGTCAAAATTTGTGTGTTACATTGTGGACTGGTTTATAAGGAGGAAAGGTATGTGTGATAAGATTTAAAGACTTTGGTTTTTCAATTTTTGTCGTCGTAATAAGTCATTTTGTCCTTATGTGCGGTGGCGAGAATGTAAATAGGGAAAAGACATTTTAGCAAGTTTTGGCTACTTTTCTTAGTTTAAAAAATGCTTATTATTTTTTTATGAAAATATAACTTACTACTATATATAAAAAAAAAAAAACAAGTAAATAAAAAATTAAAAATTTTGTGGAACATTTGTAAAAATTCGACGAATAAATTTTAAACATTTTTATCCGATTTTCTAGAATTATGCAGTTTTGTAGCCCATTAAATTTTAGTATAATAAAGTGCAAGTTTGAAGTAGCTTGAACTTATCGTTGTTTTTTGGCAATTTTTTGTTTGCGCAATTTCTTCCATGAAAAGTAGGTTTAAAAATTTGTTTGTATTGAAAAAAAAGGGGAACACCTTCCACAAATAAATTACAGACATGATGTCTGAGACATCAACTATCAAATATAATAAACATTAAATAATCGAAATTAGAATAGCCCTCGAATGTTAAACTCTCGCTTCCCTATTTGTATTTTCGCCACTGTATCTACAGCTTTTTCATATGATTTTTTTTTGAGGGAATTAGTATTGTTTTTTATAATAATAATAATAATAGATTGGCGCTTACACATATGTTAGTGTTTGGCCGAGCTTCTCCTCCAACTTGTGGCGTGCGCCTTGATATTGTCACACAAAGCGGAGGGACCTACAGTTTTACGCCGACTCCGAACGGCGATTGTATTTTTATGAGAAGCTGTTTTTCATGGCAGAAATACACTCGGAGGTTTGCCATTGCCTGCCGAGGGACGACCACTGTTAAGAAAAAAAATTTTTCTAAATTTTTTTTGCGATGTTGTTTTGACCAGGGCTTGAACCCAGGTGCTGGTGAGTGAAGCGCGTACTGCTTACCACTACACCACAGCTAAGTTTCATTAAATTCAACTTAGAATCATTTCATTAAAAAACACTTAACAAATAACTATAAACACCTTGAAAAAAATTGGACAATAATGTTAGACTGCAATATATTGAGAGTACCAGTTTTACAGAATAAAACATTACCAAGGATCATAGAAAGTAAGGATGCTGGCTATGTTTATGGCTCCCTTATATTCTATGTCCTTTTTGGTAACGAAAGTGCTACCACGTTTTACGAAAAATTGTTTTTGGACCATACTACAGGGATACTCTTATTAAATTAATAACTAAAACACTGAAAATCAGGATTAAATCGGTACAAATATGAAAAATTGGGACACTATATGTCCCTACTTTAAAAAAATATTCAGCGGGATAATTTTCTCAAAATCGGTACTGTCCCGCCAAAATCGGTACGTATATCATATCAATAGTTCATTTGAGAATGATATTTAGTCGGCTCATTGCAATAAATCTTATACATATATAGGCAATCATGTTTCCTTTACACCCCTTTTACGGCTAAACTATACTTCTAAGGTATAAATAATTATACATCGTTAGAAAGGTATTTTGATGCTGAATCGCAGACAATTTTTAAAATTTCAAGTTAGTTTAACATAAAATCGATTCAAAAGTGCCACCAGTACCAATGCCCCACATGAACATGGTTGGGCCGGAAATGCTTCTTAAACGTATGCTATAATATTGATACTGAATTACAGAAACGTGCTAAGCAGCAGTTTAGGAATAATATGTATTTAGTACCAGGTTGACCGAGCTTTGCCCGGAGCGCATATACTTTTTAAAGTTTTCAAGATTTGGAAAGCTTTAAAAAAAAATATTTTGAAAAAAAATTGGATTTCGATATCTATTAGGTAAATTTCTTACGCCAAAATTTAGATGGCAACCCTATTCCGAAATACGCTGAAATGAATGCTACGTATCTTGTACTGTGTATACTTAAAAAAAAATGCTGATCGATATTAACAAAATAAAAATTTGTATTACATAGAAGCGTGACAACCCTGATGGAAAATATTTTCTGACCAGAGTGCTCAACAATACCTTTCATTTGATATTCATATTGCGATGTTTTAGATAAATTGTGTAGAATCGAAAATAAGTGGCAACTTTACACTATTATCTTAAGGGATAACATTTTGTATATAGGGAAATCATTGTTTAAGAGCCTTTTCTTGCTACCCATGAATAGTAATATTTTACCTTTTTTTCTAAACAAAAAAATTAATAAATATGCGATTAAAAATAGGTGGTGTTATGCCCGGTTGCGTACCACTTAAAATATAGCCTTACGTGGGGAATTCCCACGACGCATTCTTATATGTCGGCCCTTGCCGTAGCACCAATATTTGGGGTGCTCCCGTGCTGCTGGTATACACTTGCCGCTGCGCGCTGAAGCACCAACACAAATCGTTGCTAAAACGCCACGCATTCCAATCAGCTATTCAAAAGTAAAATCTCACACCGCGTATACTACTTTCGATTGTAAAATAAAAATACTTTTTATAATTTAGTAGGCTTTTTAATAAAATATATTTTATCGCGTGTCCGCTCAAGTTGGAAGTACGAGTTCGAATGAATTTTCCATTCGTTTCTTTATGATAACGTATGTATCTGTGGAACGTGTTTCCTATCAGGGCTACCAACATTACAACGGCGCTGAATTGTGCTGCCGTAATGTTGGTGATGCCACTACAGTGGCAACCCTATTAAAAATATTTTTAAATTAGGGATCTTTAAAATAACTTCCAATTGATACCCATATTATGATGTTTTAATTAATTTGTAACTAATTTAGAATAGGTGGCATCCTTATAAGAGTCTTCTCGGAGATAGTGCCTATTCAGATAACCTTAAAATCTAAAACATTATCTAGGTACAAAATTTCATCAAAATCGTTAGAGCCGTTTCCGAGAACGCTATGGATATATAGATATACAAGAATTGCTCGTTTAATGTATTAAGATGTACATACATGACTAGATTAAGACTCAAACAAGGAAGAAGGTGAAGTTGAGTATGAAGAAGAAGAAAGGGATAAATGCAAATAAAAGTTCAGAAATCTCAACGTAAAGACAAAGAAGAAGGTAAATTTAAATGCTTAATATAATAGCAAAGGTGTGGGTGAATATTTAGATAAAGAAAAGAATACAGATAGAAATCTTACTTAAAGTCAAGGAGGTGATAAATATAAAAATGAAAAGATAAAAAAAGGCAGAGACAAAAGCAGAGAAAAATAAAAAGATAAAATTGAAGAATAACATGTTATATTGTGTTGTGTTGTATTGTAATGTGTTGTTATATTGTGTTGTGTTGAGTTGTGTTGGGTTGTGTTGTGTTGTGTTGTGTTTTGTTGTGTTGTGTGGTGTTGTG